GCCGCCTATTTTGCTAAATATTTGGAAGGTTTAATTCCTTAGTCATTGCAAGCAAAAACGTGTAGCATGTGCTCTCTCTTTCTCAGTGTACTTAATTCTACATTGAAATCTGTGTTTTCGGAGATTAGTAATGGAACTTGCCAAGTAACAACAGACACATTTTGGAAAACAATGCAACATTCCACTGAAGTTTAGAAGGGTGAGGAATGTAAACAAGACTGCAGAAGTCTTTGACGTTTATTAAAAGAACACAGTGATTGTTCTATCTGTTTGCATTTTCTTATACATCCTCAATGTGTCTCTATCTGTCCCTTCATGTACACTTCCTATTAAAAAAAAACAAAAAAAACAAAACTCAGGAATCAGTTGGACTCAGCTAAGTGAAGAATAGTAAATTTGATCACTTGGTTTATGCCAAAATACAAAATTAAGAAGTACAACTCTGAATTAAATATAACCTATGTGATTATTTCTTTAAAAATAAATAATAGAAAATAAAAGATGGCAATAGAATTTAAATTTTATTTAAAATTAAGAACATAATGGTGGGGTGAGATCAGAACCCAATGTTTCTTTTGCTTAAGGCAATCAAGTGCACTTATTTCAATGCTTGACAGTAATAAATTCAGTGCTATTGTGGAAATCAGACTTCCCAAACTTCACATACAAACCCATGGAATATGACTGTTTGCTCGTTCTGACATAACACCAGATCCTTTTTAGTAGCTTTTTACTTTACTCTTTTTTTTTGCCTTTGTTAACAATTATGGGCTTTCAATAGCAATGGAAATACTAGAATCTAGTTCTTTCTGGCTTGTATTATCACCACATACAAGGGCCATGGGGCACATACCTTTTTGTAAACAGAGATTTTTCATTTTGGCCTTAAAAAACCAAACAACAAAACCTACAGTTATAATAGTTCAAATAATTCTGTAAAAGTCCACCAAATTCTTAGTGGTGGGGTTTTTTTTACCTGTAGCTAAACTTAAACAATCCTGAAGCCTTTGGAAGTAGTTAGATATCTCTCTCTGAAAAAAAGTAATCTAAATTCTATGCAAGTCTTCATGAAGATGACTACATCTTGAAGATTAGATCAATATTAAAGAGTTTGATGAAAACTTAGAATATGCAGGTACTCCTAATACGTATAGATTAAAAAGGAACTTTTTTCTTGTAGACAGTTCTGCTTAGATTATCAAGCTTGATTTTAGACCGTGGCTACTAATAGGTGCTTTTTCACTCATCAAAATAACTGTAATAAAATATTATTGATTTTAAAATTATTGGGTTCATAAAAGTATTGACATCTAATAATATAAAAAGTGAATTGAAGCTTTTAAAAGACTAACGATTTTGAGACACAAAAGAAACTGGGAGGTAGACAGATGTTTTGAGGATAAACAGATTTTTTATTTTTTGTCTAAGGCAGTATGCCATGGTATGTTTAGAGCAGTATAAAAGCTGCTGACTAATCTCAGTTCAATTCCAGAGTGTTCGCTGCTCATACGTACGGAAGACAATGCACTTTTGGTCTTTGTGAATCTGACCTTCTCTTCCCCATCTCCTTTTTTCTCCTCTCTTTAGCAATACAGCTAAATGGAAGTGCTATAATAATTTCTGCCCATTGCCTGCAGACAGGAAAGTTCTGTTCTTAAAACAGTCATAAAATACTATAAAATAGTAGGTATTGGAGTTGGAGATATGTGCTCTTTTGGTGCATATTTTGCAAAGAATGGTAAAAAGACAGACAACATGACCCCAACAATTGCCAGCATGTACCCCCAGCCAATCTGGCAGTCTCCTGCATAGTAGATGTCCGAGTTCTCACAGAATCTCTTCACAGTAGCCGAGTTGAAACCAAAAGGGTAAACCAAAAGCCCAGATGCCATAATGAACACTAGAGAGGAGAAAAAAACCACAACGGTTATTATCGAATACTTAATTACTGTGAAAGAAATTTCCTTCTTTTAGAGAGGCAAATATATTTTATTTTAAAATCAAGGTGAAAAGTCCCAGTTTAAAACTTATGATTGTTAGATTATCTTCCTTTTCATAATTACCTCTTATGGGCAGCAGTGTCATAACATGGTAGCAAGTTGGCATTGGGGTTATTTTCATGGGAATTCTTGCCCATTATATCACTTCAGAAACGTTGTAATCCAAAATATGTAGCCATTTAAAAAGTAGGATGATTCAGATACAATGGAATCCAGAGGAGAAGAGTTCCCAAGTTGCAGATTCCAAACCAGCTTGATTTTCTTCTCAATAGCACTTTTGTACTTGAGACAAGTAATTACTTTTTTCCGTCAAATAAAATCTTTTATGAAAGAGTTTAAATGTAGTTTTCCAGATCCTGCTGATTAGTTTCTGATAACATAAATGCTTTCTCATTATTCTTATCATTACAAACCCAATTTTTTTTTTTTAAATCCTGCATTTGACCCACAGATGGGGAGATGAAAAACAACACAGTCTGTCTTTTTATTTAGCTTTTAGTATTGCAGTCTTTCAGTATATTTCTTTGAATTATCTCTGTAAACTTTTGGCCTAAGTTTGAGTACATAAAGGCACAGAGTTAAAGTAGTAGGAAATCTCTCCCAGTGAGTCGTCCCTCTAGCAGATAGACTAGCAGAATAATCCAGTGCAAATGAAGAAATATGTCTAAAATACAAGCAAAGCTTAAGCCACCTTTTGGTTTGGAAAGCCAGACTTGGCTCCTGCGATTACACTGCACTATCTCTTAGCTTTTAATAGAACTTTGCATACAGTCTTTACTGCATACATGTTGGATTTAAATGCCATAGCTTATGCAATTAATTTAATGAACAGCAGAACCACTTTTCCAACTTTGAAAATAAGACTGCCCAAGGTAGAAATCGTGACTATGATAAAGATGCATTAAAATAGTCCAGGCAGAGTTCTCAGGGCCTGTTTCTCTCCACCTTGGCAGTCAAGAGGGGTCAGCTGCGCTGACGGGAAGGGTTGAGCCAGCCCAGCCGTTGTGCATACCCCTTGTTCGAGAGAACACCAGGGAACTATTTTTTGTTTGTTTTCTAGCCTTTCTACTGATGAAAAAGCACTGTATATAAAATCTATAGTGTATTTTAAAAGGTTTTATTTTATGTACCCGAAAGATATCACAAAGCTGTCCCTTTTCCTATCTTCCCATTCTTTCAGGGTAGCGTTTTGTTCAAATTCAGCGTGGCTGTTAGTGACTCAAGAATAGTGATAATCAGAATTGACTGTTATGTTTGAGCTGATAGATAATTCATAACCAGCAAACATCTAATGAAATATTAGGGTTATAAAACAAATATTGCACGCTAGTCTCTGCATCTGTAATTGCTTTTCAGGTAGGGCATGTGTGTATTGCTGCAATAATAATAATGGAGAGGCTTAATCTTAAAAGTATCCACTAAAAATGGCACTCACTCATTAATCTTTAATTAAAAAGCACCAAAACCCTAAAACCACTTTATTAAGCTTGAGAGCTAGATGAAGTAGACAAGTTTAACGTGTTCAGCCTGTAAAGTCTCTGAACAATTTGATATAAACTATTTTTTCTAGTCCAAACAGAACCACTGAGTTAATCCCTTGTGAAAAACAGCAAGCCCAAGGAAAGGGAAAATAAACGCAGAAAAAGCGAACAGACACAAACTTGCCAGTCTGTTTCCCTTTTGGGTAACTCACAGGTGGGTAAAAAAAGAAGCTGCCTGCCAGCAAGCAGAGTGCCCTGAACGTGAGGTGTTTAACCTGCCCTTGCTCCCACAGCTGCTCTCCCTGAAGCCTTCATGAAGAAGTTTTCAGTGGTTCCCAAGGAAAGGGCTCGATGGCCCTTCCAGGCTCGAGGTGTGGGAAGGTGATGCTGCAGGAGCCACTGTAGGGAAGGATCCTCCCCAGTGCAGGCAGCGTCCTGAGCACTTCTGTCACCAGCTGCGCCTGCTGTGCGTGCCCAGGGCCGGAGGGAGCTCACAGAGCTCAGCACCGAGCGCTTACCAGCTGTGCTTCTGCATTTAGGCTCTGACATTAAACAAACATGTTGAAGCTCAATACAAAGAAGCTGTATTACGCCGATCTCCCTTAACTACACAGGTAGGACACCGTTAAATACAATATAGAATGAAAACACAGTGAAAATGAAGCTAAACTAGAAGCAAACATCTCATCTAGCAGAGGTCAGTGAGGTTTCCCAAAGGAAGAAAAAAGAGTGAAGGGCCAGCACGCTTCCTTTGTTGAGCGGCACAGCCTGAGAGGAGTGTGACACTTGCGTGCCCAGGAAAATTCCCTGAGCACCACCTCCGTAGGCAGAAACGTAGGAAGCAGCCTTGGAGAACCACCAGAAGAAAGGGAGATTTTTCCTACCGTGACTGTAAACTTTAGTGTTAAACCACTAAGCTGAGCAACAAACTAAGCCATGTTAATCCATAGATCCCTGCAAGTTGTAGCATTCTAGGAAGTGGAACAAGGGGATATGAAGGGGATACATAGCCCAGCCCCACTGCACACCCAGGCTGCTTGACTGCGTGAAGAATCTTGAAATAGCCCCGTGGTGCAAAACCTTCTGTAAAAAGTTGGGCCCATTTGTGAAGGAAAGCGAGCCAGCTCTAAGAGAAACAGCAACTGCTCTAAGCAAGAAGCAGGTCTAAAATTAAAATTTCAGTTTGTTCATCTTTTCAAAGCCAAAATAGTCCATGCATCTCGTTTGGCAAAACAGTATGCAGAATAGGAAGCAATCTTTTTATCATAAAATCCTTTTCAACTTTCCTAACTGGTAAAATTTGCTGGTTTTCCGACACTATCCCTACGCCTTGCTCTGCCTCACGTATCTGTCCATATATGTTTTCTTTTTGATTGAGTTACACAGAATTATTCTGAAGGCTGCGCTTTACAGTGGCACCAGTGTTTTGATTACCACGTGATGCTGATGTTGTGTGGTGTGATTTAATGGGAAAAAGCTTTTTTTTTTTTAAAGGCTAGAAATAATCTGTCACAGTTGAATGTAATGTGTTCACATATCAAACACGCTAAAAAGTTACCCATGGTTTCATACCCTCAGGCATGTCATAGAATGACCTCATTATTCTCATTTAGGTGCCCTCTCTCCTGCAAAGGCTCAAAATATTGAATAGCCTGTTATTATCAGCAGAAGCCAAGCTTTCAGACATGGTGCTAATAACGACTGCTTAATAGTGCTCTCTATCAGCAGCGCAGTTAGCTGGGAGAGCACACAAAGAAACACTGCGGCTCCATTTAGGCTCCTCATATAACACTTAACGCCGCTGCCCTGTTTTCCAGCAACAAACATCACTTTAAAATGTGTCAGAATACGGCAGAGAGTGCATCCTTCCGTTGGGTGCGGTAATCCCGCTGTCGTACAAGGTGATGAGAAAGCTAGACAAAGTGTTATAGCATGAGTGTAAAGGGGACTTGCTGGTCAAATGGGTAGCTGGAGTTCTTAACGTGGCTTGACTGATCGTTTGATTCATCTCCCATCAGCTATTGGGTCTTGTTTAAAACATGCATTTTCTTGTTTTATTGTCTGACACACGGTGTTTGTTATTGCTAGGTCGTCATCACCTGAGTTCTCACCAGCAAGTCACAGCCACTACTGACTGCAAGGTGGTTTAAAGTCCAGTCCACGTGCATTGGTTCAACTGTAAGTTGTTTTTTATTTCTACTTTCTGTTCTGCCCTCCCAAACAGTTACAGTCTCACCCTCACGCCCTTGCATCCTCTACTTCACCAGGGTCCTACAGCCAGACAGGAAGTGGCAGTTTCTCCTCTGAAGGGTCCGCTGGCCAAGGCAGGACCTCTGCACTGTGCTCCTGCTCCATGTGCAGGGCACTTCCCTTTAGGAAAAACAAGGTGTTTTGTAGAAAATATTGTAAATTATTGGCTGAATCAATGACACCTCTACTCAGGGAAAATAGCATTCTCTGCTATTTTAAAATCTAATACACTATAACTCTTTGTCACTGCAATGGTTCATTCGTTTCATTAAGCTCCTGAAATACTGTTTAATTATTTAAATCTATCACATCCCATTTTCAAGTTTATTTTAAACCAGACAAAACAGAAGTAATGCAGTTCTCTAGAGTATGTGTAGAGGGCACCAATGTACAACTCTCTTAAAAAACGTGTACAAAAATTGGCTATTTCCATTTCCATTTGTTTTGGCAAGACTGATGCTTTTGCAAACACAATAGTTGAATAGTTTTCTGTACTGTGAAGCAGGAGTGTGAAAACTTGGCTAAGCTTATGTGTATCCTTGCATACCAACGTTGAAATAGGTGGAAATCCAGAGGTGGACCACAAATATTGTAGAGATCAGAAAGAGCTGTCTTATTGTATTGTATTTGTTTATATGTTTAAACGATGAGTAGTAGTAATACTGATCACCAGTCATAAAATATGCTGTGTGCATGAATTATCTTCCTGAAATTACCTGCTATAAGAATATTAGTTTGTCTTAGAAGTTTTTGTTTATTTCAGGAGTATATTATATTCCTGATACTTGTGACAATGATGGATTAATTGCAAAATGGTGGCACATATCAGACAACCATTAGAATTAGAGCTGAATCACAGACCAGCAAGAGTATTATTCCAACAGATTATCACAGTCTTTTCTCTTCTTGGAACATTTTTATGGACAGAGCTTAATCTACCAAAGCACTTTTCACTCATCTCATCAAGAAGTTTCCTCTCACATATAATCCATTACCTCCCTTCTTAAAGCTGGCAGTTCTTCTTATGCACAATCTTTGACTTTGAATAAACATTTCCTTTCCGGTTTCTACTTTTTATTAATCTAATAATTTTGTTAGCTCCTCTTAAGCTTCTCTTCATGTGATTTTACTTACATCATTTTAAATGAGAAAGCAGATGCTGATCCAAA